ATTTTCAGCTGCCTGAGTTCAGATGAAGTAGGGTTATATATTATCAACACTACCTCTACTGCTTGGAAAGTTGGTCCACTGTCTCGTACCAGAATCCATCTTGCAAATTTATAAATCTTCTATTTGTCCGCGCATTGAATATTGATGCCATATCTCGCCTGGTGCTCCTACTATGCATCTCGAGATTCTTGATAAATTCCAAAGTAGGGTCCGTAATGTAATCGATCCTGACCTTGCATCTCGGCTTCAGTTTCTTTCTCACGTGACGTGACGTGACGTGACTTCCCTCTGTATTTTCTACAATTATTTTCATGACAACAGTTTTGCTAAGCTTTTCGCCTGCATGAATTTGAGTCTGCTGCTAGATTGGTAACTACGTCTCACCATTTTACTGTTAAACTACCTATATGCAATCACATATTGTATTCTAATAGTTACTTTTATCGCACTTTTACCTTGTGGAACTCATTTCTGATTTCTTGCTTCTTTGCCACCTGCAATCTTCAAAATTTTAAATGCAATGTCAATCAACATTTTCTGTCTTCCTTGAAACCTGTTCTTTTTTTTGTCCTGTCTTCTCACTTAAGTCTTCTCATTCTCTTTCACTGTAAGTGTTATGGGATCTTACCCATAATAATAATAATGGTCTATTCCATACTTAATAAATACTGCGCCTCAGGAGTAGGCAAGGAGTCAGCAGTTCACCTCCTGAGCGACTGTTCGGTTCAACTCTCTTCCTACGGGCGGGAGGAACCCGAAGGAGGCTACGCCGAAGGGCGGAGTCTCCTTCAGGGGAGGTAAACTCGGCCCAGAACCCGTTCATACGGGTTCAAATGGGCTATTTTTTGGCCGAGCCTAATGGCTTGGGAATTGCCCACGTTAAAAAGGCCTTGTGCCATGACACCCTCGTGGGGGGTGACTGAATATTGTCAGCAGTTCACCTCAGAACTGACTGTTCGGTTCAACTCTCTTCCTACTGGCGGGAGGAACCCGAAGGAGGCTACGCCGAAGGGCGGAGTCTCCTTCGGGGAGGTTCGCTCGGCCCTGGACCCGTTTATACGGGTTCAAATGGGCTATTTTTGGCCGGGCCTAATGGCTCGGGAATGCCCACGTTAAAAAGGCCTTGTGCCACATGGCACCCTCGTGGGGGTGACTGAATATTGTCAGCAGTTCAACTCTGAACTGACTGCACGGTTAAACTCTCTTCCTACGGGCGGGAGGAACCCGAAGGAGGCTACGCCGAAGGGCGGAGCCTCCTTCGGGGAATCGCTCGGCCCAGAACCCGTTTATACGGGTTCAAATGGGCTACTATTTTTGGCCGAGCCTAATGGCTCGGGAATGCCCCGACACCCTCATTTGACTGAAAAAAGGCCTTGTGCCGTTCATGACACCCTCGTGGGGGGGTGACTGAATATCGTCAGAACCCGTTCAACTCGTCAGTCGTTCAACTCTGAACCGACTGCACGGTTAAACTCTCTTCCTACGGGCGGGGAGGAACCCGAAGGAGGCTACGCCGAAGGGCGGAGTCTCCTTCGGGAGGTAAAACCGGCCCTGAACCCGTTTTATACTGGTTCAAATGGGCTATTTTTGGCCGAGCCTAATGGCTTGGGAATTGCCCACGTTAAAAGCCTTGTGCCACATGACACCCTCGTGGGGGGGGTGACTGAATATCGTCAGCAGTTCAACTCTGAACTGACTGCACGGTTAAACTCTCTTCCTACGGGCGGGAGGAACCCGAAGGAGGCTACGCCGAAGGGCGGAGTCTCCTTCGGGGAGGTAAAACCGGCCCAGAACCCGTTTATACGGGTTCAAATGGGCTATTTTTTGGCCGAGCCTAATGGCTCGGGAATGCCCACGTTAAAAAGGCCTTGTGCCACATGACACCCTCTTGGGGGGGTGACTGAATATCGTCAGCCGTTCAACTCGTCAGTCGTTCAACTCTGAACCGACTGTTCGGTTAAACTCTCTTCCTACGGGCGGGAGGAACCCGAAGGAGGCTACGCCGAAGGGCGGAGTCTCCTTCGGGGAGGTAAAACCGGCCCTGAACCCGTTTATACGGGTTCAAAATGGGCTATTTTTTGGCCGAGCCCTAATGGCTTGGGAATTGCCCACGTTAAAAAGGCCTTGTGCCACATGACACCCTCGTGGGGGGGTGACTGAATATCGTCAGAACCCGTTCAACTCGTCAGTCGTTCCCCAGTCGTTCAACTCTGAACCGACTGTTCGGTTAACCGACTCTCTTCCTACGGGCGGGAGGAACCCGAAGAGGCTACGCCGAAAGGCGGAGTCTCCTTCGGGGAGGTAAATTCGGCCCTGAACCCGTTTATACGGGTTCAAATGGGCTATTTTTGGCCGAGCCTAATGGCTCGGGAATGCCCACGTTAAAAAGGCCTTGTGCCACATGACACCCTCGTGGGGGGGTGACTGAATACTGAATATCGTCAGTCGTTCAAGTTTTGAACCGACTGCACGGTTGTACTCTCTTCCTACGGGCGGGAGGAACCCGAAGGAGGCTACGCCGAAGGGCGGAGTCTCCTTCGGGGAGGTCGCTCGGCCCAGAACCCGTTTATACGGGTTCAAATGGGCTATTTTTTGGCTGAGCCTAATGGCTCGGGAATGCCCACGTTAAAAAGGCCTTGTGCCACATGACGCCCCTCGTGGGGGGGTGACTCAATATCGTCAGTAGTTCAAGTTTTGAACCGACTGCACGGTTGTACTCTCTTCCTACGGGCGGGAGGAACCCGAAGGAGGCTACGCCGAAGGGCGGAGTCTCCTTCGGGAGGTAAAAACTTGGCCCTGAACCCGTTTATACGGGTTCAAATGGGCTATTTTTTGGCCGAGCCTAATGGCTCGGGAATGCCCACGTTAAAAAGGCCTTGTGCCACATGGCACCCTCGTGGGGGGGGGTGACTGAATATTGTCAGTAGTTCAAGTCGATTCAGTAGTTCAAGTCAGTAGAGTCAGTAGTTCAAGTCGAGTCAAGAGTCGAGTCAGAGGCAGTCCGAAACAGTCGCGTTCAGACAATTACTACAAGACATTGGAATAGTGATACTGGTCGAGACTACATTGTTCTCTCTACTAAACCTGATTGTTCATACTAACACTTCTACTTCTCTGTATATATTTCTGTTTGTAATATATCTGTGTTATTCCATACCTGTGTTCGCGTTCTTCTTTATTGGTTCTACCTTGGACTATCACCGTGGTACAAGGAACCGGACCATAACACTAAGTAACCCCTTGTGTCATAGTGGCATTATCGCCATATTCTGTTTTTTCTGAGACTTGCTCTTTTATTTTACTTTCTTCTCAATAAAGTGTTCTCATTCTCTTTCACTCCCAGTAACTTCTTGCGTCATAGTGATCTTATCGCCTTGCTTGGGGCGAAATGATTTTTAAAAAATGTGGACATCAGCCTAATGCAACGGAAAACATAGATTAGCTGAAATTTATGGTGAGGACAGAGAAAAATCAGGAAAATACTTTGGGTCTGAATAATAATGATATGAATTTACATTAAGAATTACTGGAAGCATTTGCTTCTTATATGAATTTAATTTAACTGTACGGCAATCCAAGGTCGTAAAACACGAGGGATGAATAATGACACTATGAATTTATATGAATAAAATATTTGGTCAGAAATATTGGAATCAGGCGGATAAAACATTTATCATATTTTCTGATAAAACCATTTTTATATTTCGATTTATAGAGTTCTTGATTTCATATCATAATGGAAAAATAAATATTTTTTTAGGTGAAGCCACGGATTAAGTTCGGCAGAAATAGGCTAAAACCAGACCCAAATATATCAGCTTCTGCTTTTGTCGGTTGTTTAGGAGATGTTACACTGAGGACTTTTTGAATAGTCTACGTGTACTGTTTTTTTTTTTTTTTTTGCATTTCTCGTGTGTGCGTAACTGAAGCTGCCAGATTAACGTCTGACATCAATCAAATCTATGAAGACCGTCTTTTTCATCAGCAGGTTTATTGAAATATTTTATTTGTTTGTTTAACGATATTTAACTCCTTATGGCGCATTTAATGCCAAGTTAATGAAATATTAATGTCTCCCAATCTTCTGCTTAGCATTTGGAATGCGTATTTGGTCATCGCAATACGTCTTTAGATCTCAGTATTCCGTACTTTGTTGAACCACTTCCCGGATATTTAAATTTCTTAGCTTGTTTGATTTCATTATCGCCGATAAATCATCTTCTTCCTGATAAACATGCATGAGAACAAGGAGATAAAAAAGGAAACAAATAAAAAACATAAAGCATATGACTAATGTATCTGTTCTTAATATATACTATCTCTTACGATTTTCCTAGTTCACCGGAAGGGCTTCATATCAATTATTTCGCCCTTAAGAATAACGATTATTAAAGACAGAACTACTTAGTCCGAATTTAGTAGATGAAGCATTGCCATAATAACATAAAAATATCGTATTTCCTTTATTTATTTTTGTTGTTTTTTATTCCAAAGACCAGGTAGTTTTTTTTTCATTCAACAACCATTAATTAATATCGAACATAAATAAAATTAGCTCTATAAGACAAATGAGTTTGCCGCAAATATCGTTAGAAGTTGATCTGATTACAACAACTTACTGATAAAGCCAGGGAAGCCGATAAACAAGCCGATTTTAAAATTTATTTACAAAGCTAGAATTATTTACATTATTCGGACTTTTGTCATCTTTGTCGCCATATTTATTACAACGTTTCGGCCTTTCAGTATCTGTCTATATTTCTAAGATGAGGTATTGTGTACACTTTTTTCATTATTCGGACTATTGTCCGCATCTTTGTCGCCATATTTATTACAGCATACAACGGCCGAAACGTTGTAATAAATATGGCGACAAAGATGAGGACAATAGTCCGAATAATGAAAATAGTGTACATAATACCTCATCTCAGAAATATAGACAGATAAAGCTAGAATTCATTCTTTCTTACTCGATTTTTGCCGGCTTACGGCGTCATTTCGTTAAAACACTTCTTCCCGTACGGTCACCGAAGTTAAGCAACTTTGAACCTGGTTAATACTTAAACGGGTGAGCGCTTGGGAATACTAGGTGTTGTAAGCTTTAATAGCTTGAAATTGTTGATCGAAGAGCCATGTTCCAATTCTATTTGACTTTGTTTTATTCGCTTACGCATAATTAGCGTAACAAGGTAACTTGTTATTGGTAAATATCGTAGTTTTTAAATAACAAGGCGACGGTTTGGAATTGAATGGTGTGTGTTAATGTAGTCCTTATTAGTTAGAGATATTTGTCGAAAGGTGTGACATCGAATTGGACAGGTCAGAGCATGTGTTTTTGATTTCCCTTTTGACGCATATGCCAGCCGAATATGTTTTGGTTTTGGAGCAGTGGCTCTGAGTGAAATGGTGCAAAATCAAAATATAGGGTTTGGTCTTTTAACCCTGATTTTAAACAATGGAAAATTGAGTTGTGTCAGTTTGATATGTGGGTGGATAATTATGTATAAATTCAGCTCGATTTTGAGGGTACACACGAGTTAGGCCGGGACAACAGGGACAAACGAGTCGTCAGACACGCACGCAGATCCGCACGAGGAAAGGGATCAATATTCACTTAAATTTCTGAATGAACCTTCCTGAACACATAATTTTGACATTCCAAGTCGCCGCCTTCTGATCTTTTGTGTTCATCGATGACAAATATATCCGATTGTAAATTCTTTAATTCGCCTTCATTAAATCGTTTATATTTAACCAAAACTGGCATTGTTATTTCTTCGCTGAGAGACTGAAGTTATTTTCAGTCAGCTCAGTCGTCAACAAATTTTACCACGGCTTATTGACTAAAAGAAGAAAGGCAACTTTCTTCGTCAGTAAGAAAGACAACTCTTGAAGAACCAAGACTGAACAATCGACGACTTATACTGGCACCAATCGTTAAACCAGTTTGGAAGCTGTATAACTTTCCTTATTCAACAGCCGTGTGAAGATATAGATATCGGAACAAGTAGGCTTCGAACTAAGCTTCTCCACGTCGACAGAAAGCGAGACTAGACCAACGGGTCCTAGGAAACATGTACGGGAAGAGAGAGGGTTATAAAGGTATGATTCCACCATATTTCCCGCAGCTATAGGCTAATTAGTAAGAGTTATATCACTAAAACATTATTATCTCCAAAAAATATTTTTAAAAATTGCATATAAATTATTTAGATTTCGGCATTAGATAACATATAGAGCTTGATATGCCGCAGAACAAAAACAATCAAGTATCGTTTTTCACCATAATTATATTATTTGTTTACTTTTAGTAGTAGTAGACGTAATAGTCTTAAAGTGTCTGATTTAATAATGAAAATGTTTCATCTCAGAAATTCAGATACATGAAGACGATAAGAATCCGATTAAACTGAAAATGGTGTACTGGTATTATCTATAGCCTGGAGCGTCCCAACCGTCACCTCCAAGGCTTGATTTTCCAGTCTTGTGGAGGATGACATTGTTTCCCTTCCCACCGATGCAACATTGCTAGACTATCTCCATACTGTCGCTAAATGTTCAGACGCTGTGTATTTTCTATTGTGTATTAACTATAGTGTTGAGATGTTGAGTGTTTCCGCGTGCGTGTATTGAAATAAGGACAAACACATACGTAGGGAAAAATACTGGTATATCTGAAGAGGTATTTACAACAGAGAGATTAGTAGTCAAACGAACGCAGGTTAGTCAGTAACAATCAGAAAGAGTATAAAGTCCAACTGTATCTTCCGGTAGAGAGACGGAAGTGTGGTGGTCACCTGATCTTCCAGAACTTTATAGAACTGTCCTATTAGTAGTAGAGAGATCAGTCCATTCTGATGAGAAGGTGGGTGCGCCCCAACATATAGTCTGGAGCGTCCCACCCTCACCTCCAAGGCTTGATTTTCCAGTCTTTAGGAGAATGACATTGTCTACCTTATATCTCTTTTCCCACAGAAGCAACATTGCTAGACTATCTACATACTATCGCTAAATGTTCAGACGCTGTGTATTTTCTCGTAGCACCAGCCGTTATAGTTATAACCCCAAATCGCCTTGCTACGTCTACAGAGTTGAATCATTCACGTTCTCTATGAAGATTTGTTGCATTGATCTGGAACGAGACGGATCCTGAAATTATCTGATCTCCATTGAACGTTGATTTGTCCTATTTTGCATTTGAAAAAACCTTTTAAGGCAATCTCTTTTTTTTTTTACTCCAGATTTTGTTCTTGTAGATAATGTTTAAAAAACACATCACTCGAAGACTTCCAACAGCTGTAACAAGCAATATGGATAGCACATGTAACTGGAATGGAGAATAATGATATAATCCAGATGTTGACGACTTTCCACATTGCCTTTAAAGAAAAGGTTAAGAAAGAAACCCCCATCAACACGAGAAAGAGCGATAACAGCGGATTTGAGATATCTATGTTTCAGAGAATCTCTTTTAAGAGAAAGACCTTGCAGCTGACTGTAGCACAAATTGTTCAGTCAATGAAAGCTGATACTTTCTTGTATGAAACAGGTTTATCCCTCCATAAATTATTTTTTACATAAACGATTTTATTTAATCTACTTTTAGTTCTCTAGGCACGTCAAGACCTCTCAAGAGCCTCGACAGTCGTCTACTTCCGTAACTGATACGTTCTAGCAACAATTTGGCTCCGGTAGCAAGTTGGCATCTAATCGGCTGAAGGGACTAGCCCCTCACCCTAGACGAATTACCACCTAAAATCCCGGTCTGTCATACTATTTTAGCCACAGTTAAAGAAAGAAGAGATGGGTTCGTGCCTTTTGCCATGGGCAGAAAGTGCTAAACGTATAGAGGTAATCGCAGCTTCTCACTTTTTACTTGCGGTTAACTGTCAAGCCTGCTCGCAGCTGTCGGTGTAATAGCCGTAATTTTATTAGAAGTTTCATAATATCTTCCTGCAACCTCCGTAGATTTCTTCGAGTAGTGAAATTGGTAGAACGCGCATTTTATTTATTTATAGAACGAATAGCCGAAATTTTTTCTTTCCTCTCATCCAAAACGATATAAAAAAATTCCGATTAAAATATTTGCGCACGAAACAAAAAAAAAAACAAAATAAAAAAATAATACAAGTACATGGGTTGGCTTTCGAGAGAGGGCGTGTCTAGTTAAAGAGTTGCTCTGAGTGTATATTGCTGCTACAAGACATAAATCGAAACAAACTATTCAAAGGGATATTTTAGCTAAAAATGCCAGATGCCGCATTTTTAAGCATCTGATTAAACGCCCAACCCAAATAATTTCTTCTTAAAAATATACAAGTATTAAATGCAAATATACGTAGTAAGAATAGAAAGTAAAAGTTAATATTTAACACAAGACCGAATAAAGGAAGTGTGCACTGGAAGATTGTGTTGCACCAGTATTCAAATGGGTGAAGCCTGCCTAACTTGGAAATGAATATTTCAAATTATAGCTTTTAAATGATTTCTAAGAATTAAGTACAGAAAAACGTCATATGTGGATAAAATTAGAGTAGGAAGATTGTATAGCGCCAGTATTCCAGGCAAGGAAAGAATGCTTTATTTGGAAATCAGTTTGTAAAATTATGGCCTTTTGTTAATTCCTATGCATTGTAAAGAACGGAAAAAAATCGAATGTTTTTAGAAACGGGAGTAGGAAGATTGTATAGCGACAGTCAACAAAGTAAGGAAAATCTATTTGATTTGGAAATCAATATTTAATATTTTGAGCTTTTATTAATTCCGAAGCATTGTAAAGTATGGAAATAGTAAAATATATGTAGAAATGAGAGTAGAAAGATTGTGTAGCGTCAATCTCCAAAGTAAGGAAAAACTGCCTTTGAAATTCTGGTCTTTCGCAAAAAAAATAAAAAAATAACATGTACTGTAAACAATGAAAAACACTCAAATGCAACTCGAAAGTTATTTTATTTTTAGTGTTGACATCGTAGCTACCTGTAAAAGGATTTGAACACCGATATCGATGCTAAGTGTCAATTTGATGTAACAACTAAACTAAGGTAGACACAATGGATACGTATTTTTAAATTAATGTTGTACAAATATATGTTAAATTTAATAGGAAATGTCGCAAGATGCGGTTATCGAAATATTTATCTTGGCCGAAAAATGAAAATTAACCGAGATCAACTAATACAGTGAAACGTTTTCCTCGGACCATTAGAAATCCTACAATCTTAACGACATAAGATAGGGAGATGCCCACAGTGTTGATAGCAAACACGAAAAGGAAACTCCGAGAACACCTACAGAAGCTAGTAAAGGAAAGTGAGAAGAAAAGACTAAACATCAATTGCAAGAAGACAGAATGTTACGTTGTTAGCAGATGGCCAAAGATGCCTTCCAAAAACTAAGCAGAGTATTAAGGAACATAAAAATTTTGTAAGAAGCAATGAAAAGAGTACTAAACTGTTACATGATATCTGTCCTCAGTGAATGCTGAACAATCTCCTCGCAGATGGAAAAGAGACTTCAAGCAACAGGTATTTGATTCTACAGAAGGATACTGAGAATACCATGGAGCGCACATGTGAGCAACGACGAAGTTTTAGGAAAAATGGAAACAAAAAAGAAATTTATGTATACAGGAAGAGACAGTTGATTGCAAATTAGAGACATCAAAATCAAACAAGTAAAATTCAAATAACTGGGAAGTGTTTAACGGAGGACGGAAAGTGTGACATTGAAATCCGAAGGTGCATTGGGATAGCCAAAGATGCCTTCCAAAAGCTAAGCAGAGTATTAAGAAACAGAAAATACTTCGTTAGAAACAAAGAAAAGAATACTGAACTGCTACGTGACATCTGTCCTCCTATATGGCAGTGAATGATGAACAATATCCTCGCAGTTGAAAAATAAACTTCAAGCAACAGAAATTTGGTTCTACAGAAGCCTGCTGAGGATACCATTGAGCGAACATGCGAGAAAATGGAAACAAAAAAGGAACTTATACATACAGGAAGAGACAAATGAAATTTCTGGAGGTGGGAGCATATTGAGGAAAGATGGCTTGAAAATATTGATACCCACATGTAAGAAGGACTGACGAAAACAGCAC